CTGAAGCCCATATGCATGACCACACGTCCAATCAGTAAGCCCATGTTGGAAAATCGGGATATCATAGACCGAAGCACGCCATTCGAAGTGGTCAAGCACCTGTAACATACGCCGAAACCAAGTGTGCAAAGCCCGAGCTGAAGGGAGAGATGCAATCACCCCAAGTTGAATGATCAGCACCGCATTCATGTAGCAACAGTTACACTTACACCCATTGTAAAGCTGAAGTTCAAGGGTGCCTTGTTTTAGTTCGGGCCGAACACACACTTGGAGATCTGCGCGCTCAGCTTTGGCCTCTTCAGATTTGCCGGGCGCATCTCGCACATGAGGAGTTGCGTAACACTGCTCTCTCGTGACGCAGGGAGACATCCATCTTCCAGGGCACGATCACTGTTGGACTTTTCAAGTCCACACTCTTGAGCGCCTTCAAAGCTTTGAACTGATTGATCATGGTCGGCAGCTTGACAAGCTCCACTATGCTCGCGATCATCTGGACCATCTCTGACATCGGGATGGGTGCCTGCGTTGTTGGTTTGAGCGACTTGCTGGAAGCATCCCATGCCCCATCTGCATTCAGCATGCCCTTGTCCCTCAGCCCTTGACCGAGCTTCGATTGGAGATTGGCCTGCACCATTTCCACCCTCGCCCTCGCCGACAGCGCACTCCAGAATGCGTAGGCGAAGAGGAGCACCCACCGTATTGTTCTAAAGCTGTCGACGCCAGGCCGCCGAGGTTTCGACCAACGTGGGTAGACAAGAGCCCGTCCCCGCCTGGATGAACAGGATGATCTCCGTGTTGAGGGACATCGCCTGGAGGGTAGCCTCTTGTCTCAGGATAAAAAAATCGTTTGGAGGCGCAGGATCTGCTGCATGTCTTGGGGGTCGTGCGCGCGATCGGCTTCGGAGCCGCGCTGGCCGTTTTGCCCACGATGTCTCTTGCCAGGTGGAGTCCGTGGTTGCGCTGGTCGCTGCTGGGGCGTTGGAGTTTGTGACATCATCTGGCGAAGCACCGGGGAACCTGCAAGGACGGAGCCCAGGGAGTGAAGAAGCTCGTCGTGACTTTGATCCGCTCCCAGTGTTGGGTCCATGAGCTGGTCCGCAGTCGCTAGGCAGTTGTGGGCGAAGAGCGGCGCTCCGGTCATGATGATTCGCAGCGGCGGCAGAGTTCACTTCGGGCGCATGGGTCGAGTGTCGCAGTGTTGTCCATGAGCATCTCGCTGATGTCGCTTCAGCGCAGCTTCGGTGCAAAAACTATTGGCACAGAGGGGACACTTGAAGCGCTGCGAGTCCTCAGAGTCGGCTTCTTGACGTAGTTTGCAAATTTGTTCAGCTCGGCTAGCGTCCTGTAGAAGCGCACTTTGAGGCCATTCACACGAGTGACAAAGGTCGTCAGGCGGCAACTGCGCCTTTGCAGCATGAGCTTTGCGAAGTCGTTGCAGCAGCATCTCCCTGAGTGCAATCCAAGGCAGTGTCTTACCCAATCGGGCGTATAATTCAATCGTGGTGACGGGCCTCAGGTGGTAGGCTCGGCAGACAACGATGCGAACATGATGAGCAGCAGTTTGATGGACTTTGCCCAATGCGTATTCATCAACTCCTAGTTCGAGGATGCCGTATGTTAAGGTAGACCAAGCACAGACATCATAGAGATGCAATCTATCCCGAAGAGCATGGCACCTGCGATCACACAGGACCCGTCTGAGCCTGGAGAACGCAGCGCGAGCCGCTTGCACTCTGCGATCAACGGTGTCCTGTTCAAAGCGATGATAGCCAATGATCACTCCCAGGTAACTCGTTTTACTCACCAGCGAAAGGTCACGTTTAGTGCCATCCGGCATGGGACATCGTAGCACAGGTCCTGTTTTGAGTCGCCGCAAGTAGGTTTGTTGAAATTGTTGGGACCGAGCACCCGCGAAGGACATCATAACAACAGATTTGTCGTAGTTGATGTTAAGCTGCATGGCCTCAAGACAACTCAAGACCTGTCCAAGCTCGCGGAAAATACGTTCAGGATGATGGCCAGACTTGCGCACCCAACATATGTGAAAATCATCAGCGTAGATAGTGACGTGTGCACGAATCCACGGCCCGGCAGAGCTGGTGATTGGAAGCCTAAACTGGTCCACCAGCTCCAAGGCCAACGTGGAGTGCGGAGTGCAGCTGACGCTCGGCTCCGCATCCCCTGTCGTCACGGATTAGATCCGGGAATTCGACCGAGTTTTCCGAGAGGCTGGACGACGTCAAGCCGCCCGGCTCGAAGTCGGCGGCAGAGTCCAGCGGCGCGCCTCCAGCTGACCCTGCGCCGTCAACAACATGCAGTGTGAGTGCTTGCGGCAGGGACCCCTGCGCAGCATAGAAGCGCAGGCCCTGGGGTGCACTTTTGCCGCCGCTTTGCTAAAGCCCGGCCGGTTTTATCAAGAGCCTTTAGCCAAGGCCTGCGGCAGGACGCCTGCGCGGCCATTGCAGCGTCTTTTCACTTGTGCTCGGCAGGAATTTGCGGGCAGGTTCCCAGCGGTTTTGCGCAAGCCGTCGTGGTTGGGACCTGCGGCAGTTTTCTGCGCGGGGTGCGGCCATGCAGGCCACCCGCGCCTTTTCGAGCTGCCACGCAATGAGGCTCCGGATCGGTCGCAGCCACGCGCTTTAAGCGCGCGGCGCGCGGCCCCTGATCGGGCGCGGCTCCGCCGTGTGGGGTAGGGTAGCTGCAGGACCTAACTGTATATAGCGTGAGCCGTAGCTGTAGAGTATTTTATAAGCTGGCATCGAGACCACTTCAGGAGCCTCCGACCCGGGAGTAAAAGGAAGACCCGCGAGAGCGTGTGATCGCTCAGGGTTCGGTTTAGGAGGGTTTCGTGGGTTCGTCCCGTCTGGTTTTTAGGCGTGTGCCTGGCTCCGCCGTACCGCCTGGACCCGAACCTGCCCTCCTGAAACTTTGATGTCCGGGATACCTGGGAGCCTCGGCTAAGGGGCGAATGTGAGTGCACATACATGTCAGTGCTTCATGTGCACAGGTCTCTGCCAGCAGTAGTTCTTGCTTGCATGTTACATGTTGTGTTAATTTGAGTTTTGGCTCAAGAACTTGAGTATCTAAGTGCCAAGTGTGCACGGCTGATTAGCGAGTAGGTGTAGCTTCTCCGGAAGGTGCAACTCGGGGTCGGTCTGCGACGCGGTAGCTTAGGGACTTAGCGAGCGTACGCGGTGTGAGCCCGCGAAGCAAAAAGACAGCTGCCGCTCCGTGTTTGCTCTTTTGCAAGACCGGTTTGCGGCGCTTCACATAGTACTAGTTCTAGTACTAGTAGTAGTAGTAGTAGTAGTAGTAGTAGTGGTAGTAGTAGTAGTAGTAGTAGTAGTGGTGGTAGTAGTAGTAGAAGTAGTAGTAGTAGTAGTAGTAGTAGTAGTCTAGTAGTAGTAGTAGTAGTAGTAGTAGTACTGGCAGTAGTAGTAGTAGTAGTAGTAGTAGTAGTAGTAGTAGTGGTAGTAGTAGTAGTAGTAGTAGTAGTACTGGTAGCGGTTGTGGTAGTAGTAGTAGTAGTAGTAGTAGTAGTAGTAGTTGTAGTTATAGTAGTTGTTGTTGTTGTTGTAGCAGTTGTAGTAGTAGTAGTAGTAGTAGTAGCAGTAGTAGTAGTAGTAGTAGTAGTAGTAGAGTAATGCAAAAAGAGTAGTGGTAGCGGTCCTAGTAGCAGCAGAGTAGCAACTGCAGCAGCTTCTGCGGTAGCAGAAGCAGCAGCACCGCAGCAGTAGCAGTGGCAGTGGCAGTAGCAGTAACAGTAGCAATAGCACTGCGGAAACATTACGCAGCAGTAGAAATAGTAGTAGTAGTAGTAGTAGTAGTAGTAGTACTAGTACTAGTAGTAGTAGTAGTAGTAGTAGTAGTAGTAGTAGTCGTAGTAGCAGTAGTAGTAGCAGTGGTAGTGGTAGTCGTCGTCGTTGAGTATCAGCAACAGCAGCGGCAGTCGCAGTGCCGGTGGCGGTATTGCTACTCTGGTTGGTGTTTTTACTCCTGATCACACCTACCATGGCGAGCCGTCCTTCTTCTGCATGGCGATGTAGAAGCGCTCCAGCCGTGTCTCACCGAGTCGCACTTGGAAGGTGAAGGTACCCTCCTGCACACACTCCGGTTGACTTTTCTCTAGTGACTCTAGTCGCTTCAGTCATCCATCATCATCGTCATCATCATCCCTGTCGTCGTCGTCGACTTAATCGCTGGTGCCGCCGTAGTAGTCGTGGTGGTGATGGTGGCAGTAGTAGTACTAGCAGAAGCAGCAGCTTTCAACGGTGGTGCTGATGTTGGGCACTGTATCTGTTGACAACTCTGGGTGGATGTTGTTAAAGAGCGACAATACTCGACGAGAATGTTGCGTTGTTTGCGTGGTCTCGGACACCGCGGCACTCTGACACCTTCAGGATCAATATATCCCTGCAGCAATCCCACACCACAGCAAGTGCCTCGCAAGCGACAATATCCTTTATCTTGTGCATAGCTTCGAGCCGTTGAGCCAGTTTGCCCTTCGGCACAAACCTTGGAGCCTCACCCAAACAACATGCATTTGCTTAAATGCTCCTCCACCTTCATCTCCTCAAACTCTGAGAAAGCCTGGAGTCACAGAAGATCAGTCTAGAGTCTAGAGTCTAGCAAGGAGTTAACCTACAAGTAAGACGCGAAATGAGAAAAAACAAGTGTATACTAACAGTCGCACATCCTCCGAAGATCGAGCAGCTGTCCAGGAACCCTTGATGTAAGCTGTGCCCGCTGGCATGGGATCTTCTGGAGTCGGTTGTCCGAAGAGGTAGGAGCCGTCGTAGCAGTGGCCTGGGCATCTGCAAAGGCACGCACGTTCGCTTAGGCTTGCGCCCAGCCCCTGACCCCAAGGCGGTTCAACCCCAACCAGTTGTCTTAGGCTGCAATAACTGGGTTTTCGACGCTTCTCGCAGACGTGGAATCTCAGAACAAGTCCCAAGTGTCAGCTGGTCAATAAGGGGCGCATGATGAGTTGCGTGTCTGGGTCAGCCCGTCGGCAAATGATGGGAAGGCAAGACTGGGACTAAAGTCTCCGGGAGGGTGCACATCTCAGCCTGCCCCCTTGGCATGGATGGGCCTTTGAGATTCTCCTTGTGCGTCGTTGTCGCTGGGTCATGCTGTACAGCGTTATACACTCGCACAGCATACCAGAATTTGCTGGTGGGAATGACACGTAGAACTATACCAATAATCATCCCAGTTATGACACTCATCATGCCGAGATGATGCGAACAATCGCGTCTGAAGTGAGTGTGGCAAGCCAAGGTGCTACAGAACTCGTAGTTGTCAGACTCGCGGACGCAATGTGCCCGCCTCCGGCCCTGTCCCGTTGGCTTCGGCAGCCGTGAGGGTACTGCGTCAGAGCTCTTCCACTCCATACTGCCCAAGCACTTCCTCGCACATGCACACAAAAGAGACTACCGCAGGCACCCTTCCAGAAGAGCTCAACTCGGTCAAGAGTCGGGCATCGCACAGTCACGTTTTCCTCAGCTTGCTGATGGCACTGCAGTTGAACAAAAAAAACCTTTCAAAGGTTGCACGCAGACATGCACCTGCTTGAGCAGAGAGTCAAGCATGTTGAGGTCGACCGGACGAACTTTTCCTTGGCTTACAGGCCACGGCTCTGCACAGAACGGAACTGAGAAGCCATGGTAAAACATTGGAACAGAGTTTCTGAAGCCAGTGTTTGCTTTGGCCCAGATATCGGCCCGCGCATTGGTGCCACCAAAGCCAAAGGAAGAGACACCCGCGTAGCCGGTGTTAGAGCCCAGATCCAGGAGCTCTCCCTGGTCAGCTTTGGGGCAAAGCTCAGCTAGAGCTCGACCGCAGCAATCTGCTGAAAGTACAGAACAGTTCGAGACAAGGCACCGAAATCTGGCAGGGATAACCATTCATGTCCACATGCGGGTTGAGGCAGTAGAAATGCACGTTCGGAGAAACACTGTGATGGTTCAACATCAGGACGCACTTCACAAGACCTGCGATTGAAGCAGCACAGAGCAAGATCCTATGCATAACGCGATAACAAAAAGCGATACAATACTCAGCATCCTCACCACAGCTTCGTTTAATCAAAGCCTGCCATCCCTGCATTGGCTTCTCCGTGAGCCAGGTTGGACTTCGCGCTCGTCTTCATGATTGGCACTTTTCGATCCCTGGACATCGCAGACTTTCTCCCCGAGAACATGCGAGACAGGACCGAGTGCAGACTAAGACGCTTCATCACGCCGCGCAGAGCACCGACTTCGATCGGATCTCCCAAAGCGGTTCCAGTGCCGTGCAGCTCAGCCACCCTGGTGCTTCTCGAAAACTGCCAACAAAAGCAGATCTTCACAGCACCCCCCTTCCTCACGGGTCAGTATCAGAAACAAGACCATACGCCCATACACTGTCAAGGACTCTTCGACGACGTCGACTACTGCTACTTCTACTCCTCCTCCTCCTCCCACTACTGCTG